ATCTGTTAGAGTGAGGGGGGGGGGGGGGAGATGAAATACAAAAAATTAAATACTTTTATAAAAGAAATTTAAATAAAAAATACTTTAAAAATGGGCGGGGAGGGGGGATACGGTGAGATGAAATGATGTAGTGGGGTAAGGAAAATATTTTACATTTTATTTTATAAAAAAATGTTATTTTTTAGAGATAAATTAATTTTTTTATCTTTTATTTTAACTAATACTAATATTTATTTAATTTGGTCCTACATAAATATGGGATCGGTTGCCACGTTTCGGCATGCTAACTGTTTGGGTTCCATGAGAGGACCAATGGTTTGACATAAAATGTGAAGTTGTTCGTTGTTCGTAAATGTTGATGATATTGTATATGTTGATATGTATGGATGTGCTTAAAATGTTGTTTGACTTGTTTATGTTGTTTATGTTGCACTAGTGGGATAGCCGCGTGATCCTACCAGTACACTGTGGTTGTGTACTGATTCTGCACTTGCTCTTATTTTTGCTGAGTACAGTGCATCTTCAAGCGGCTATTGACAGACCTCGCTTAGAAGATCAGTGATCGTTCGAATTCAAGGGTGAACCAATTCTTCCGGGCTGCCATGAAATTCTCTTTCGTCTATGTCCACAATTTCCGGACTTAGACATTTGTTCTAGTTAGTTCATTAGGATGGGGTTGTATCCCTTCTTGTTTAGACTTGGTTCATTTGTTTAGATGTTTTGGTACATTGACTTTCAGGGTCTAAGTTATTTCTTCCGCATTGTTTTGTTCGTTGTTAGACTTTTGTTGGAGTTTATGGGAACTCCCTATTCCTTTCCTTAGCATTTAACTTACTTCCGTAACTTAAATGCATTAGTATTTTGGTTGAGTTGTTAGTTTGGATTGTAATAATGGTTCTCCCACCGGAGGGTTAGTGTGGGTGCCAATCACGACGGTCTGAGTCATGAAAAACTTTGTATCAGAGCGTAAGTTCGTTGATCTCATTGTACCAAAACGAGTCTAGTAGAGTCTTGTCATTCGAAAAATACACCATCAACCATTTTGGATTTATGATTTTTTTTTTTTTGAGAAAAACAGTAAGAAGTGAACAAAATTATGCCACACTATATATTACACCAACACTATTTTTTAATACTAATTTTTTAATTATTTTTTCATATTTTATTTGTGAAGTTTATTCCCCCTACATCAAAATTATTATAAACAATCATATTGTGTACTGATCCCTAGATCTGTTCAAGTTTGTTGTGTTAAACTGACCCAAACATACATAATCAGACTTTGCTAAAGTAATTTTTATCCTTAAGGAATATATACCTCCAAATTAAATCCATGTTGCACCCAGTAGGATTGATACCAATATTCAACATATTATTATTTTTTATTTTTACTTTTTATATAGGATCTTATTCACACACCTGATATTTTTATGATAATCTGTAATGGTCCCGTTGGCACATCATATATCAATTATTGGCCTTGTAACTCGAGTTTAGCAAAACAAGGGAAATTTGGATGCTTCTTTCTTTAATCATATAAAGATCAGATTTATAATTATATTTTCACGGTTCCAAGACTTCAATATTTCTTGCTTCGAATATTTCCTGAAATATCCACGTCATTCACATGGTAGATGGATAATCAGATTTATAATTATTTTCCATTTCCAATTGAAATGGTTCCAAGACTTCAATATTTCTTGCTTCGAATATTTCCTGAAATATCCACATCATTCACATGGTAGATGGATCGATATGATATGTTCCTTCGAACAAAAATAGGACCTCTCAAATTCTTTTACGAAATATTTTACTATTATGGGTGTATTTGATACGAAGAAAAATATTTTATTTTTAAAAATATAATTTATTACATATATTTGGTAAGGGGGTTAAAAAATTTTATAATGGCGGTGGTCGAATCAATATTATAATCTAATTTAACTTTACAAATTAGTCAAATTGACTTTTGAAAAAGCGAAATAAAAATGTTTTTATCACTTTTCGTATAGTTTTTAAATATCTATAAATTTTCAAACCTCTTAATGAAAGTCCTAAATTTGCTACTCAAATTATGGAATCATAACTCATGAAAGTCCTAAATTCGCCATTCAAATTATGGAATCATAACTTATGAACTTTATGGTGATGAACGTGGACATTTCCTCACACTAATATTATATATTTCTTAGGGATGAATCTCTTAGATATGTTTAATACGATTATCCCCGCTAGAATGTGGATATTTTCTTGATCAATAAAGACTCTTCCCTTTTCTGCTACCATTCTCATTTTTATTTTTTCTAATAACATATATATTCCATTATTAAATGATGGAATAAAATAAAGTTATAATATTAAAAGAAACAGATTATAAAGGTAGAACTTGATCCTCCTTCCATCTTGCATAACTACCGACACTGGTTAAGAGAGCAAGATGGACAAACAACAGAGATTAAGACATCAAATATCGTTTTTGTTAAAGTTGATGTCTTATGGTTTATAGCTATCGAATAATACATCAATTACAAGAGGTTTACATTACCATAGTTTGAGAAATATGATCGATCACGGGAACATAATTGTATCCACATCATTTATTAATAAAATATTTTTTTATTTCTTAATTGTTGCAAACAACATATTGTGTACTGATCCCTCTGTTCAAAAGTTGGTCGTTGGTTAAGCTGACCCAAACATACTCTTAATATTGTTAGAAAATAGGATTTGAAAGAAGATGAAATTTAATAATCTGACTTTGCTAGAGTAATCTTTATCCTTATGAAATTTATACCTCCAAATTAAAGCCATGTCACACTACCATTAAGTGTATTCATACTCCTTATTTCTTATTTTTCACGTAGGACTTTGTTCACACACCTTATTTCATTATTAGGTATAAGCAAACGCTCCAGATAAGGAAAGACAATTTATTTAGAAATCCATGCTAAAATATAGATATAGCTTAGCAGGTGTTTATTTTAATTTACAACATAACATATATGTTAGTGTGACATTTTAATATTCTAAAATATATTAAATTTTGCAATATTCTGCATGGTCACACAGACATTGGTTTTCTGGCCGTTGGTTGACTTCTCACATTTCATATGTTACAAAATGTTGGATGCATGTAATGACAATCATAATTGCTGCATTACTATCTTATATTACTCCAAATTGGAGTTAGTGCCATACGCACATCAGTTTTGCAAAATGCCGATCATTGTACTAGTAACAGGGCAATACAATAAGTTGTAACCAAGTTGTGACGATTTAACAATCTTGAACCAACTGCTATCTGCTTGACCTATGGTTCCTCCAGTCTCCAACAACATCGTCCCTAGAGATGCATCGTAATCTCCCACTTTCCAAATTGTATAACTAACACACAATTTCGATGTTGAAATAGCAAATTGGATGTTGAGTAGTTCATTTTCAAAGATACCTTGTCCAAAATGACTAGATGAACCAATGAATCTAACGGGTGTACCGCTAGGTCCAACATCCGAATTGTAACGGAATATGCCATTTGCACAAGGGGCATCTGAATTTGGGGACTTACCTAGGTACACATCACCACCTAACGCACCCCAAAAAGTGGAAATAATACGATAACTCAAACGAGAATCAAGTTCTTTACCAGTTACGTCAAGTACTGGAGTAGCATCACTAGGTAGGTTAATGGGATTTTGGGAAGTGAAAGTTGATGAAAACACCACAATGGGAACCAAACACAAACATAACAAAAATAAACACTTCATCTTGTTTAAGCTACTAATTTTATTTGTGTATTGCTTGTTTGTGACTCCTCTACACTAATGAAGCCTTCTATTTATAGACTCATCACACTCTCATATTCCTTGCCATGTATTAAAAATGACTACAGTTCCTTATTGTGTTGTTATTACCCGTAATTACTTAAATGGTCATTCAATTATAATAAATTTCTTATCAAATATTATTCATTTTCTTCGTCTCAGTTTGTGTTGCACTTCTCGAATTTAGAGGATTCAAATAAGAATTTCTTTGTAAGTAATTATTTTTCTATGTGTTTTAATATCTTGAATTATTAAATATTTGTGATTTATATGTACTTTTTATGTATTCTTCAAATATGTATATATATTTTTTTTTTAAAATTTCATATCTAAATTTACGATTAAAATTAAACTATTTAATAAATTTGACACGACGAATTAAAATCATGATGAAATATGTCTTCTTGTATCAAAAAATTCGTCAAGTAAGAGAGTTTATCTATCGAGTAAATATAGCTAGAAACAAAAAGAGAGAATTAGATTGATTTAAAGGTTAATATATAATTCCCCTTTTGGTCATTCCTCATCCATGTTAACATTAACCTTCTTATAAACTGTTGGTTATTAAGCATTTTAATATTATTTTATATTAAAGTAGCTTTTTTATTTGACTTAATGCTGCCAAACCATTTTTTTGGTCATGTTAATGCCAATTATTCTTGGCTTTATTGGTCAGATGTCATATATCCTATAACGTTCCAGTGAACGTTGTGGTCAACATCTTGGGCAGTTTTGCATTTCCACGTTAGAGGCATTGGGTTACCCCCTGTCAATTATTCCATTCTTAATTCCTCCATTATCCTTGGTAACCCTATATAACTTCTAAGACTATTATCTTCACTATTTTACTACATCATTTATCTTCTTATTCATTGCTAGGAAGACTTCTTCTAGTATAAATAGTAGTGGTCTTCATTTGGTTTATGACACAAGGAAAATATAAAGTGCATAAAGTTTGTCAAAAAAAGAGTTCTTATTAGTTGAAGGGAGGTGTTCTTTTTTGTGGAGATTTGGACTCAAATCTTGTCCAGAGTTGTTGAGTTATACTTTGTGAAGGCTGTTGTATCCTGGAGGGGACAAGTCAAAAAGGACTACTGCTCGACCGATAAAAAAACATTTGCTGCAGTGAACTTGAATCTCCTTAAAGAGAGCGAGATATCCGCGCCTCAACCAAAAGAGATTTATTTCTTCATTTTTATTTTCAATTGTAATCTTGTAATTCTGTTATTTTGTAA